AAGCTCCGAGTTCTGGACTTCAGTGGGTGTTGAATTTCATCAAACGCTTCATAAAAATCTTACTGACATAGTCATAAATTTTTATACTCCATTTTTCCACTCCAGTGATTTACTTTGGAGGATTCTTATGTTCCACACCCAGTTTGTCTTAGTGAAATAAATTCAAATTAGTAATAATGTGTTATTCTTTTTCATATGTTTCTGAATTTTTACTAATAATTTGTGAAGGACTTTGCATTAATATTTTTGAAAGAGACTAGCTTAGATTTGTACTTGTTATTCATTTGTCATGTTTTGGTATTGTGGTCTCATTAAGTTGATAGAAAATTGGGTTTACACAAAAGGTTTACTTGTCAAGATAGAATTACATGAATTACAGGTCTGACCTAAATCCAATGTCACTATTGGTTCAAAAAAATTGTCAAACATTAGGCATATATTAAACATTCAAGGTGTCCAAATTGTTTGACCTAGCTCCTCAAAATTTCCCTTTTATAAAAATTAGGATATGTTTTGATTATGGAATAACCAGTTTTGAGTAATATGAGTGTGGGGAAACATTACTCATGAAAGGAAGCTATTTTAGCATAATAACACTTTCAATTTATAATCAGTAATTCCATGACCATTCTCATTTTTCTCCTAGCTTTGCCACATAAACCCAAAATACATGTAGGACATTTGTGATTAAAACTATAAAAATGGAAATCATAGAAAATTAGAAATCATAGAAAATAGAAAGAAATCATAAAAATTACTAAAAGGAGATACACATTAATGTATTCAAAGGCTAATTATTGTTAGGTTAATTATGCTCTCCAATTTCATCAAGATTCTTTGCAACCCAAATGAAAATTCCATCATGCTTTTTGGAGATACTGACAACTATATTTTAAAATTTGTATGAAAAAGTAAGTGAACTAGAAAAGCTAAATTATTTGAAAATGGAAAAATGAAGATGGAGGATTCTCGTATCTTCATTTCAAGACTTAACATAAAGCTACAGTAATCAAAAAGGCATAGCACTGGTAGAAAGATAAATATATAGATACTATAAGGCTAGAAATAGAGGACATACAGTCTACTAATTTTTACAAAGATGTGAAGATAACTAAACAGAGAATGGACAAGCTTTTGAACGATAGTACTAGAAAAAAAATCCATGGCGTATATTTTATACAAAAACAGAATATCTGAAAATGGATTACAGATGTAATTGTGAAATATAAAATATAAAACTTCTGAAAGAAAGCATAAGAGAAAATCTACACGACTTTGGATTTAGCAACAGGATTTTAATTATGACACCAATATACCATCCATGAAAGAAACAAAAATTAACAAATAGGATTTATAAACAATAACATCGTCTGCCTTGCGAAAGACTCTGTTAAGAGAATAAGTGCACAATCAAGAGATGTGGAGAAAATATCTTCAAATTATACCTGATAAAAGCCTTATATCTAGAATGCATAAAGAACTCTTAAAACTGAGCAATAAACAAAAACAAACAACCC